CAGCTCTGCAGGTGAAGCGACCTTCTCACACTGGAACGAATCCTTGCTGTGAGCAGGAGTCCTGCTGCGAGTAATTTTTGGCTTTCACTCGTTCTTTATCTGTTGTTACTTGGCTATTTTAAGATGTCGTACATTCACAGCATTTTTCTAGCTTTGTTTTTCAAGTTTCAAGAAATTATTATGGCGATTGATAGAAAGGGGGGGGGGGGGGGGTTCCCATATAAAAATGACGGGGGTGGTCGTCGTAGGGTTAAAATTGGTGGTCAGTAGTACCTTTTAGGGGATTAAGCCCTCAAAAATAGGATAGGAACTAGTTTTGCTTTAGGGGTGAAAATGAATTCGAGCCACACCCACAAAACGAGAATTTGGTACCTTTGAGGGATTCTTTTCAACATTTCCGGCAATCATCCCCGTCACTTTTATGTGGGAGTCCCCCCACCTCCCCGGCCGAGATTGATTAAGAGTGATTCTCCGGATGAAAACCACGAAGAGGCTGCAAGCCAATGTTGTTCCTGTCCCACGGTGTTCCTGTCACGAAAATGAAAAAAATAAAATAAAATGAACAAATGGTAGTTCTATTGGTGGTTTATAACTATTTCAGTACTATAAGGCGCTGACATTACACGACGCAATGTTATGCAGCAAGTGCTTATAGCCTAGCAGGCGTAGAAAGGAACCAAGTCTAGACTACGACCAGTCCGGCGCCCGTTTTCCCCCAGATCCTGAGTTATAGGCTTCACCACTCGCCCAGGCTCTTGATTCAGTCCCAAACGTTGCTTTATTCTCGCACCATAGAAAAACGTAGGAAAAGAAAGAGACCCTACTCGTTACATGTCTAACCAAGTTCTACCCCAGCGAGTCTGCTTTCATAGGCTACATCGTTGCGGCAAGTCAACTGAGGTCAATGACTGTCATAGCTAGTCGGTAGCAACAGCTATTTTTAAATCATCTACTCCATACCCGAGTCCATAGGTCGGGCTGTCTACTCGAGATCTGCGACAGTGTCTGAGAGACAAACTATACACGTACACGAAAGGAGTTTTAGAGTGGTAATAACCTTTTTCGCGCAAAAAAAAAAGCATCGTGGTAAATCGGAGCAAACACTGCGGGAATTTACAAACTGTAAATTGTTCCTAAGTAACCAGGTAACCAGTAAAGGCCCGATTAAACGGTCTCAACATTTGTCTCAGAATTTGTTGAGAGCCGATGTTGAGGCCGTTTGATACACCCCGCCTCTGAACATCTTCTCAGGATTTCTTTTGTTCTCGAAATGGTGAGGCCGTTTGACACGGCATGGTCTCGACACTCTCAACATGACTCAACAAATATCTGACTCGTCCCCAGTCGTCTCTCTTATCTCCTGTTAATATTAACGAGAAGAGAAGTCCTTTGTTGGGAGTCGCAAGTCGCGGGGGATGCTACCCCTTGCGCTCCCCTCGGCCGCGCTAAATATTAACAGGAGATAAGAGAGACGACTGGGGACGAGTCAGAACAAATATTGAGACCGTTTGATCGGGCCTTAAGCCATATGGATATCACAGAATTGACCACGCGGAAATCTTATTTTTTTTTCTCTTTCAGGATACCCGGCGTACGACAAAATGGGTTTGCTTGCATAAACATCATCAAAAATCACAGAGATCATAGTCATAGAGTTACTACAGTGAAACCTCGATTTCTCAAAAACCCCGATAACTCGAACCAGTTGTTTCAGTTGGACTTGTTTCAATGTAATTTTACCCCCGATATTTCGAACTCCCGATTTCTCGAACCAATTTTCGTTTCCCTTGGAGGTTCGAGAAATCGGGATTCCACTGTACCAGAAAGCAGCTTTTCCCAGCAATAATCTCCATTTTTTCTTTGGAGCTACTTATCTGAAAATTGAAAAATCTGACGCGAAAATATTCCGGGAAATATTGTTGCTTTTTGGCCGAAATTTAAGAATCACGGAAATTACGTTCCGTGTATAGTTTGTCATAAAAAAAAGGTAGTTGTTACCCAAATTTAAGCCTTGGGTGGGTTCTCCGCATGTTCTTAAAGGCTCAAACAAGTTGCGAAAAGATAGAGGATCGTTTAAAGAATGCGGTAAAATCAGTGGCATGTAAAAGGCATAAGTTGATAACTGTGGTTTAACTAAAATAACTTTTCTTTTTCCTGAGCTTATTTCCGCCGCTCTCCCGAGTCCAGTCTTCCCGAACAGCGGCTGGTAATCGAGCCTTAACCTTTGTCTACTTTAATTTCATTTTCGCGCCCACCATACTTCCGCGCGCGCGCGCACAGCTTTCTTTTGCGCGCCATATCAGTTTTGACCCATGAACGCAATCATATCTCTTGCTAATTGCTATATAAGATATAGGAAGCGATACGTGAGATCCAGAGATGCGATGCGATGAAGGTCAACGTTTTTTAAAAATGATATGTAACAGTAGATTTTTGCTATCGAATTCTTAACAGGGAATTATAATAAAGAGTTCAACAAGGTGCAAATTGAGATAGCGCTAGTTGCTAGGCGGATTTCTCCGCTCTTTCGTAGAATCAAGCGACAGGCTCGTTTTAATAACTGAAATTTACACGCTTTCAACGCAACTGTATGGTGCACTCGTTTCAAGGGATAACGCGAGGGCAGAAGAGGAAAAACACGCGCTCCGTCCTGCCACAACCAGTTTGTTCTCGATCCTAACTTTACGGGGGGGGGGGGGGGGGGGGGTCTTCTCGGAATTTTTGGTGGGGGTGTGCCGCCCGGTTCTCAAGCTCCTTGCCCCATTTCAGACCAAAACATAGCGGGAAATATAGCTGATATAGGATTTGCTATACTATACCCCTCTAAAATTCACACCCTATTTCGATTCAGACTACCCATAGCCACGATCGCGCTTCGCGCTCGCCGAACTCCCCTCCTTCCCCTTTCTACGCCTGCCACGCAGGCTAGACTACCCAGGACGCATAATACATAGGAGCCGCTTTTTATGCAATAACTCTTTTGGGGTTATTTCTCTGGCTTATTTTTTTCCTTTGAAGGTTACTTGCTCACACAAAACAAGAAGTATTTTTCTACGGTTCCATTCAAACATGTAACGATACGTTTTCTCGGCACTACGAGACTATGGGACGAACTGATCTTACTTCTTAACAAACCAGCTCAAAAACCATACCCTTTGGAGCTGTACATATCTCATACAGTTGATATAGGAGAGCAACCCCCCCCCCCCCCCCCCCAATCCCAGGACTAACCAACTGGCACATGCACAACAACCGAATGATCCTAAAAATAGCCTGATCATACAGAATTCGTGTGTTTATTACAATTCTGCGACCCCAAAAAGCTGCTTTTGTCTGGCACCTTTTGATGTTCTTATCACTTTCGAAAAAACAACATCGTGGACAATTTTCATTGGATAAAAAGGTCACCTTATCTAGCAGCCCCACTACGTGATGCTTTCCAAAATAAACTTACGCGATGTAAACATTTCACTTGTCGTCACTCTTGTCGACATTCCCCGGTTTCTAGACTACAGGGTCAATACGGCGCAACGCACGCACATAAGGTGTTCAGGGGGAGGGGGAAGGGAGATTATTTGTAGTGCTTCAAAATTATCTGCCTGCAACCTTCGGCACGCTAAAGTGAAGTGCGCATTTCCTCTTGAGATGATTTACTAAAGGCTTAAGGATCCTTCGGAAATGTTATTGAGATTTGCGCAAAGTTTAGAAATATAAAGGAAGCAATGTATGAAAATTTAAAAGCCCGAGGCTCGGGGGATAGGGTTTCCTATGTGCACTGCCGTAAAGGTATGGTCAGTTTGCGGGTTTTCAGACTGGAACAGGGCATGAGGATGTTCCGTTTTGGTCTCGAGAAGAGCTTTATTCGAACACTGAGTTTCAAAGGAAATAATGCATAGGTTTTTCGCATTTAGTCTACACAGAAGCATAGGTGATATATGCTTCTGGTCTCTGCAGCAGTCGGGAACATGGTCGCAAAATTAGAATTGAAATTGTTTTGGAGTGGGTTTTTCTGACCCACTCCCATTACAACTCCGCAAAGACCCCTCCCCAATGGACGGAAACTGAAAAAAAACGATGGCTTCTCATCAAAACTTAATCCAACTGATAACCATAAGAGTTTCGAGTACTTTTCATTAACTTTTTTTTCCGTTTTGCTGATGACACTAATTACATGATCGTGTATTATAAAATTCGTCGTACGTAAATAATTTCCGTTTGACTTTCACCTTGGCCTTGGGTTTGACGCATTTCTTAAACATATATTAAGCAATCTTACTCAAGTTTTCGTTTTCAGTTGAATTAATTACATGTAAAACTCTGAGAAATCAAATATTTCGCGTAAAATTCACCGCCTTTTCAGCTCACAAGTTGTGAAGCATTTTAAAATTGCTTGAGCGTGCGCATGTCGGAACTACTAGTACCGACGTTGGAGGCCCGTTGGAGGTTACATGGCGGTTTTCTCTGCCAGCGAGCAGAAAGCACGCTAATCGTATTTAAACTCGGAAATACGACGGCGAAAATCCTCTGAAACTTCGCCAGGAAATCAAAACACTGTTACGAAATGATGGCTAGAGTACCACGATACGTGTACCGATGACAACATATTAATTAAATGAACACGTACATAACTGTTTCCTGGGAGTTGGAACATTTTACTATACAACAATGACCTTGCAAATTCATTGCAAAAGTTCGCCAGGGAAATTTAAAAAAATTCTTACAATTCTTAAAGCTAAATTCTGAAACTTTTGACTTGACCGAAATAGCTATTTGGGCTTGGATGAGTACCAGTTAAAAAAAAAAAAACAGTGAAAAAAAAATTGGCCGGGATGGGCTAATCGGTACGGTTTCAAGACCCGGGCCACAAAAATATTCCTTCATAAAGCCTGGCTATGTGAACAAAACCGTGGCTCTAGTCCAACTAACCCATTTTCAAGACTGAAAATGAAGGTTTTGTCAACCTCCAACACAAGGATTAGTTATGCCTAAGCTCCCACGAGTCTCCTGTAGCTCAGCGGTAGAGCGTCCGACCGGTGTACGGCCGGATGAAAAGGTTCGACTCCTGTTGGGAGAACGTGTACTTCTTTTTTTCCGAGTAGCAGTTGTGTCACTGACTGAATGATATATTTTTCAAGGATTACCTTTTTAGGACTTATCGTCCTAGCCCTTCAGTTTTCAACAAAGTTATAACATCTCCCCTTCCATGTTCAGTCTATGTTCCTCTTCTACTGAGCATCACTCGGAACCAAATTGCAAACGAAGGGAGCCCCCCCACGGGAACCAAACTTTAGAGATCACTAGAGAGCGTTAGACAAAGCTACAAAGCAGTACAAATTGAAAAGAACTCGAACTGCATGACTGATTCTAATCACTACGCCTTGCTAGCTAGTGGTAATAACGTTTTCAGCAAACTCTGCAAAATGATTTGATTTTTTTAGCAATTACCGCAGCGGCGACTGGGGGCAGGCGGAGGCATTCTGGACCACTGATCCAAAACTACCCAGTTTGATAAATATTGCACCCCAGTTTAACAGGTATAAACTGCAACAGCATGTTCCTCCTATCAGGACTCAATTTAAAAAAGCACCCAACTTTATTGTACATGACATTTAATTAGAAGCGTACACTCGAATTCTGGATGAACAAGAAAATAAAAAACAATTTACGTGGGTGCGCGTGGGCGGAGAAAAACAAACTAAATGTGTCACACACGGATCACAAGACTGCTGTGCTTCGCTTTCACAGTTTCAGCTGAGCAAGGAAACAAATAAATCGAAAGAACGAGAACGCTTTGTCGCTTTTTTTCTGCGAACACGTTCGATCAGGCTAATTTTAGTACAGCTAGCCTCAGGACCCTCAGGGACACAGGAAGAACACGTACATGGGGTTGTTTTGACAATAAATTCATGTTTTCTGGGATTTATTTTCTTTACGCTCTCTCAAACAAGCACGTTATCTCCTGTTCATGTTGGTTAAGTTCAAGTGGCTGTTTGTGTAAAGCAAAGCGCGCATTATCAAGCTCAATTATACAAATGTACCGTCCTCCCAGGCTTTTTACTGTCACCGTCAGGGGCACCCAACGGATCATTTCGGTGAAATATCTGTTCGAAAGGCCTATAATCGCCTCGGATATTCGGTTAGGGAAATGTCATCTCGAACTTTCGTAATATGGGAAAATTAATGCCTTTTGTTTTCGGAGAAATAAAAATGTCGTTTTGGGTACAAAAAACGGTCAGCTAGGATTTTCGGAAAGGAAAATTCACCTCATAAATTCGGGTAATAAGATTTCAATCCCTAAAATTTTCTGAAGTTTGAAAGTTCAGCTAACGTATCCGAACAGATACATTTTTCTTAGCGTTTAAAAATAAGCCATTAAACTGCACAAAAAGCACAGTTATAATGTAAAAACGACGTTCTGACACCTACAGGAAAATGTTGTCGTTGGGTGCCCCTGCACCGTTACAATACACGCGCGGTTTCAACGTGGCTATGTCTAAAACAGGGAACGGGGAATGGGGGAACGGGAAATTCAACGTTCTGCAATCCGGCTACAAATAAATTTGAAACTAAAAATCACTTACGCATATAATCGACTCGTGACATAATATGTTTTGGATGCAAACAGAAGGGTTCCAAAACCCCAGTGACCAGTTAAACTAGAATTTTCCAGACTAAAATAGAAAAGGGCAGCGGATTTCTTACAGGGAAGCTTTCTAAGCTGATATTTCTATGTTTTTAACTCCGTGTGAGCTGCACAACTGAAAAGCCGGCTTTGAATTCAGCATTTTGAGCTCAGTACCCTGAAGGCAAAATTATTTTTTAGAGACGTTCGTCATGTCAATCTACACCGACCATCGCCCTTGAAATCTGACCTGCACATGAAAACTGTTCTAGATTTGAATAAGATCTCGATCAGATCATGGCGTGATATTTTTGAATGTTATGCTCGTTGCAAAAAGCGTTAGTACATTTGCATACGTGAAAAACAATTTCCGCAACACAAAAGCCCCTTTACCACAAAAGGTCCCTTCTTTCAATTCAGCTTCGAAATTAAAGGCCAAGGGTCATTATGTAACATGTACGTTTCACGTGCCGGAAATGGACAATCTGATATCGTTGGATGGATCGTGTTTATTGATGCACCTTTCAGACCCCGGGGAACTGCAAGAAGTTGAGTTTTTTGGAGTTCCCCGGCGTAGTTCGCAATTAACAACCTGTAAACATCAAATAAAGAAACGAATTCGGTTCTTGTCATGCAAATCACGGGACACATGAGCTGTTTCACACCGTGACACCTGATGTCCAGTTAAGGAGAATACACTCGTGATCAGCGCTCGCCACAGGCTTTGCGGTAAACATGTGGAATTGACCAATCAGCGCCAGGAAATGACAGCTTGGTATACAAACGTCACTTCCCTAAATAAAGAAATCACTCTGCACAGCAGAAATCGTTCGACTCGCGATTTTGTCACTCGATTCCAGCTCTGGGTCAAGGTAACATCAGCTATGAAGTAACAGGGCTCGGAGAAGGAGAAGCGACCACTGCGCAAACAGCCAAAACCCCAAACCAGTTGGAGGTCTCAACAACTACCAACGCACGAGCTAAAAAAAAAATTATCCTTCGCAGAAATATGGCTTGTTGCAAGAAGAAACCGATGGAAGATAAACCCGAAGTGATTGTACCGTACCCTGACGGTGGCTGGGGATGGTTGGTGTGTATGGCAACATTTTCCACGCAATTTATCGTTCTTGGGACCATGAATAACTTCGGCGTTATGTACGTGGAGCTTCTGGACGAATTTCAGACCGGCAAAGCTGATGCAGGTAAGCGGTCAATATTTTTTTTTCTCTCTCTCTCTAAATATCCCTAGCACAAAAACAAGATGCAAATGAACTTGCTATTGTGTTTTATTTTTAATCTCTCCCTCTCTTGAATCTTGAACGCTAATTGCTCCAAACTGCTGCCTGTACAATTTTGCAATTTAGGGACAGAGAAATAATCAACGCCACAATTTTTCGATCAATGTTTTAACATGTGGTGCAAGTGCATTTTCTCCCCGGTGCGCGGGTCGAAAGTTCTTGAAATAATTTGAAAGCCGATCGCGAGGCCGGTGCGTGAACAGTGAACATCAACGGCAGCTCGAATCGATGCAGCAACCGGCGAAAATGTTGTTGCTACTTGCGCCGAGGAAACTTTAAAATCAGCTGTTTAACCGATTTTCGATAATCATCGTCTTTCAAGTCGCGGTTTTACAGCGGAAAGGAAAACTCGCGTCCGTCATGTACAGGAGGTTGTTAAAATAATTTTATTGCGAACAAAGGGGCTTTTAAATATTGCGTATGATTGCCCGATCTTTTTGTAATAGCTCAATTCCGAGTGATTTATACGCTACAAGATGTTCGGCATGCGTGTGTTGGTTTAAGAGCTAAACGATTTCGCATTTCACTTTAGCAGCTCGTTCGCTTGCTCAAAATATTTTTTTCTTCGATCGACTTCGCTCCTCATTGTCACTTGTGACAGGAACTGTCAAAGTGTCGTCAAAAACCTGTTTTTCTTGATTCTCAGCCAATAGGAAAACGCTTGGAATAAAACTGCATGAATTTTAGGGGTTTTCCATCACGGCTGAACCAATCCTCCTCACACACCCACATTTCACGAAGAAATCTTGAATTTCGCCTCGAAAATCTTTAGTTTTGGTCTTCCCGAGCCAGTCGACACTCTGTTTACGTTTTTGTTGCCAAAAATAAAGAGAAAACTTCTGTAAATACGTTCCATTGTATTGGCGAAGTTCATTTGCATTCAAAAGGTTATGTCATTACAAGATAACACAAGTGAAGTGGATTGTACCATTGTTTCGTTTAGGCTTGAGCAAATAATTCTTGAATTCGGTTTATCTTTCGCTACGAAAACATCAACTCCAAGATTAGTAAAGTGCCGCGCGATCGCTTTAAAAAGTGTTTTACTGTACTCGTTTTGGAAAAGAACTCGTTCGATTACATGTACATTTCATGCGAATTTTACGGTCCACTACTGAACTAAATGAACTTCAAAGTATACACTTTTTCGCATGGATAAACATTACGTAACAGTGTACAATTTGGAGATTAAAAATTGAAGGATTCCCTGTGACATACTGTCGAAATTTGTCACTTTGAGGCGTTTATAATCCCGACCTAAAAACGCGCTGTAAAATATCAGATTTCTTCTTTATAAATAAATTTAAGATTGCATCGATACGTGCCATGCAAAATGCCGCAAACGAGCAAAGTTTGTTTTAATTAAATGTACAAAAAAATTATTATGTACAAAAAAATTATCGTGTCTATCTATATATTCCACTTAAAACATATTGTGCACACCGCATATTAATACCAGATTCCGTGCTCGGATGTTAGCTGCGTTGGAGTAGAGTCGGTAGACCTCCAAGGGCAGTTTCCGTTTTAAGGACTAAAATCACAGGAAAAATGACTTTACAAAGGAAACATTCACAAGAAAATCTTTCGCAATATTAAACCATGACGCAGTAATATATCCCCGCGGGAGATTCTAAAATGCTATAAACCAGAAGCTGCTTTTTTTTTAATGCACGGAAAGCGAGAGCTTATTTAAACTTCCCTTGCCGGTTTGTTGATATAGAAGTTAGAAAAACAGTCATTTAATAGTTCAGTTTATGTTACCCAAGGAGCTGAACCTCAAAATTTCATCGTCGGAAGAAGAGGATTTTCAGCCCATTTTTTTCTCGTGTTAACAATGCTCACGAAATACTTTGATTTACGATTAAACCTCGGCCTGTAGCACAACATGTATTTGTCTGAGTTTGGAAAATGAAACCACACGCTCTTTTGACTAAGCCCACTAAAGAAAACACGAAAAACAACTACGACAAATGAAGAACAATTTCAAAATCCAATCTACGCGGTATTATAACAATTTTAAGGCTTTAGAAAATTATCGAAATAACGAGAACCCTAAATATATCAAAATATGTTAAATCGCTGTTTTTTAAATACTTTAATTCTATCTTCTTAGCGGCTTCATTTAGAAATTGAATTATTTGTCCATATTCATCAACA